AATGTTTTAGCAGTGTTTTTTTTTTTTTTTTGCTTATATGAATAAGGAATCATTTCATTTTATCATTTTGCAAACATTATGTTTATATTCTTCGAACGTTCTCTGAACGTTCTGAAACAAGTAACGCTAAAAAGACTTTAGATGAACGTCTGTATAACACATTTTAGAAGAAAAACGTTCTGTGCTAAGGTTTTGGGAACATTATTAAAGAACAAAGGACTTTGAATGAAAGGTCTTTTAATGTTGCTGGAGGAACGTTTGAGAGAACCCTTCAGAATGTACACACTGCACTTAACCCTGTTCGTCTGTGGTGCACATTTTTTTAAATACTTACAATATTTTAAAGCCTATATTATTTTTTAACTACAGTTGTGCAGTGAAATGCATATATAGTAGATGTAATAGAGGAGTGGGATGAATTTATTTTATAAGGTAGATTTTTAATTTTTACAATGTTTTTGTAATGTATTAATTATCACGGGTTAATAAAAAACAAGTAGGCCTATACTAATACTACATTTCGCAAGTTTTTATCCCTGATTCTGCTCTGAATTGTTATTTAGCGTGAGAGTTGCCAACCCTGCTAAATAGAAGCATTGTGTGTGACAGACTTTATTTTGTTTTGTTTAATATTTGAGTTTTTAACAACAAATGTCCAGCTGTGATGTTTATCAGGGTCACATTTGTTCAAGATAATAAAATAGTTTAATTTTCTCACCTGGGCTTTACTGCAGTTTAGTTATTGTTCTGAGTAACTGCTGGATTTATGCTCTGAATATCTTCATTAACTCATTTCAGTCCTACAGCTTTTGTACTGAGTAGAACTAGTCATTCTATAGTCTTCTTTCTCAGTTAAGATTGAACTGAAGTCAGTGCAGCAAGAGAAGAAACAAAGGAACAGGACTGAACCTGAATCTCATGATGTTTCTTTAAAAAACATTATAAATGTTACGGCCCAAACCAAAAAAAAGCCCTGTTTTTTTTTTATTATTATTATTGTTGTTTTTGTTTTTGATAACCCTTCTTGGCCAACTCAAGAATTTAGTTCTGAACTCTTCAGGTCTGTTGAGATGAATAATTTAATTAGCTTCAAGTGTTTCTAAAGAGACAAGAGTCTCACACCTCACCTCATTAGCATACATGAATAATCAATGCTGAACGCTGATGGCCTCTCATGCAGGTAAAGCATTTGTCTGAATGTCTGAAGGGGGAAGGAGCTTCAGTAAGACTTTCTCACATGTAAATCATTCATGCATTGTTGTCTTGATTGCACAGACTCTATGGAGCTGGACGATGAATCACTGAATCAATGATGAACTGACTTTAGCTGATAAACTGACTGTTTTCTATTGTCCTCTTGCATTATCACAACACGCTTTTCCTGTTTGACTCTGTAAAGCTGCTTTGGCACAATCTGTGTTGTATAAAGTGCTATAGAAATAAAGGAAAAACAAAATAAAAAAACATGCAGGCATCAGGATTATTTATTTGTAAAACTGTATTTCAGCAACACGTTGACCTTTTGCACAACTACTAAAAACAGTAAAACAATTGGGGATGCTTGTAACACTTCCAGTTTCTCCAGTCAAGTTACAAATCACACACACACACACACACACACTCACACACACACACACACACACGAGTCAATACAATAAACACTACAGAGCATTCATTAGACACTACAGAGAACACAGCATCCAGAACATTACAGAAAAAAAAGTATATTGTATTGAGTAAACAATTTTGCAGTTCTGTAGAAAAGTATAGTAATTGCAACTGAGTAAGGTGAATATATTGTATAGGCCTACTGTATGTACTGCAAGAACAGTATTGTGATGAATATTGAATAGCACTGAATGTTTGTATATATTCAGCTCTTGGATACTGCAAAGATACTGCAAAGGCCAAAAAGCTCAAATAAAACTCTAAATGAATAGCATGCTACAGAACACTCAAATACTGTAAGTTCAGGGTCAATGAGAGCTTCATTCTGTCTCAGCATCATGTCTGTGTGCTGGAGTCCGGCCTGAGGACTTCACATCACAAGTAATGCTGTCTTATTTTGCTAGACAAAGAGAAAACCCATCCAGCCTTCATAACACTCTCTAAACCTTCCTCTTTCTCTCCTCATCCTCCACTTCTTACATGTACTCTTCCTCCTCTCCTTCTCAGATTCTGTCCATCTGTTGTTCGTATCATCATTCAGTCACCTGTGCCGCTTGTGCTCTCTGAACCGGCTCATATGTTGTACAGCTGGTTTGATCACATCATTAGAAACAAGTGTGAACAGTTTTGAATGGTTGTGTGTAAACGATGACAGCTGTGCTTTAGTTGTGTTTAACTTTAGCAGCACAAGTGCATCACAGTGTGAGAAGTGTTTGAGTGAACGAGAATGTGTTTAGAGATTTGCAAAAAGAGCCTAACTGCCTGAACGTGTTTAAGGTTTAGCAGAAAGAGTGCTTTATTCAGTGAGAATTTGGTTCAGAGATTGGGGTTTAGTGTTTTAGCAATTCAGAAAAACTGTAATACATGTGATGACGACTTGCCCCAACCTGATATATCTATCTTTCCCCTTATATGTCTTATAACGTTTGTATTTCACATTTAATTTTGTGTATAAAAAAAAGTAATATATTATATATAATATATATTATAATTAATAATACATGTGATGACTTGCCCCAACCTGATATATATCTATCTATCTTTACCCTCAAATGTTTTATCATTTTTGTATTTTAAATATAATTTTGTATATATATAAAAAAAAAACGTAATATAGTATATATAGTATATATTATTTATAATAATACATGTGATGTCTTGCCCCTACCCCTCTCTCTCTCTCTGGTGTTTAGCATATGTAAATGAGCGTGTGTTAGGCCCCGCCCCTCGGCGCAGGGCTTTATAAGCGGCGCTCGGCGCTCCGCTGCGTCTCTCTGGAGTTCTGAACGCGTTCGAGTCGTGCATCATCTCACCCGCAACTGCGACATCACAGGTACCGGCTGATTTTATCTGGGTTTTATTATTTTTAACCGGCACTCGTTTGCTTTAATCGACGTGTGCTTCACTACATTAGACATTTAGCTTATTTAACAACGGGATTGATCGTGTTCGACCGTGTTTTGTCCATCGTGATTCGCGCGCTGCTTAAAATGGCGACGCCTGATGGAGATCTTCATCATCCTCGCCTCAGATCAGCGGTTTGATCAAGTTGTAATCGGTCAGTCGGTTGTTTCGCCGTCGGTGACCGTGTGTTTCTGTGTTCTAATGCGCCTGTGACGGCGACCGGCCTCGGATCCGCGGGGTTTTAAGCTTTATTCGGTAATTCGGGTGTTTGTATGGAGTCTTTTGTTTGGCATAGTTTGGATCTGCGCGCTTTGTGACCCACATGTCGAGTCTGAATAAAGACAACACGACAAACGTTCAAATAACGTATTAATATTACTTAAAAACCCACAATTAATCACTGAATGTCTTTGTTTTATATTTCTGTTTTTGTTTTAATCGCCTTTCTGCCTAGAGTCAGCACTACAGCGTGTTTTCTACATTATATGATCCGCAGTGTAGCGTTTTCTCGGTGTGACCCACGTGTTTCTAGAGCAGAATGTCTGACGAAGGAAAGCTGTTTGTCGGCGGCCTGAGCTTCGATACCACCGAGCAGTCGCTAGAGGACGCCTTCTCCAAATATGGCGTCATCACCAACGGTAAGTAGCCAATCAGAGACGCGCTCTGCTGCCGCGCTGCTACGGATTGGTTTGTGCGTTCACTGTGATTTGCATAAGCAGCTCATTGTAATGCGTGTCTGTTTTCAGTTCATGTGGCCCGAAACAGAGAAACCAACAAATCCAGAGGATTCGGATTCGTGACTTTCGAGAATCCAGACGACGCGAAGGACGCGCTCGAAGGAATGAATGGAAAGGTTCGTTACTGAGGCGCTAGTTTTGATTTGGGTTCAAATTGGGAATGGGAGTTCTGGCGGGTTTTAGTGAGTCGGTTCATTTGACTCGGTTCAGTAGTAAGAACCGACTCTTTCGGCTCCCAAACGGCTTTTATAATTGAGCCAAGTTCAGTAACGTTTCAACCTACGATTGGTACGTGCACGTCACCTAAATTATATGATGTATAATTACTAAACCTTATTTCCAGAATTTCTTATTTTTTGGTGTTTAAAAAACCTGAATAATTTGCTATAAAACCGGATTAATGTACATTTATAAAACATTATTTTATTTTATATATAAAACCTGAATACTTTTGTACAATAATCTGAATATTTGCTGTGAAACTATTGATAAAACAAAATATTTTGGTACTTGAACATGAATTTTGAATAAAAACATGAATGTATGGTTAAAAAAAAAGGTTAACAATCATTTAGATTTTTAACATCCTGAATGCACAATTAATAATTTGCAAAACGGCATCACCCTATACACATGCATATTAGTGCATACAGGGGTGCACAAGCTTCGGGTTGGTTCTCATGAGAGCACCTGGAGGTAAGGTTTGGTACTCGCACATAGTGCAACTCATACAATATATCTAAAAAAAAAAATTATTATTAATAGGGATAATACCATTGTATTTGTTTTTTATTTTAATACAATTCATATAATAAACTAAATAAGCAGTATATTAAAAAAAAAAAAAGTTGAGTACGTTATTTTATAGTACACTTAAAAATATGCTAATTAACTTCTCATTCTCAAACCTAAAATCAGCATGCTTTTATTTTGGCGGGTTGCTGGCTAGTAAGCATGCGCTGCTGGTTATAGCGCGTCAGTTTTGCGTTTAGCTCTGAAACTGGCAGAGCATCTTTAGGTTTAAGCTCTCAGTTTGAGAGAATCTTATACAGGATTACAGTTAGTCGGTCTAAAACGGTGATTGTGCATTAACGGCTGTCAATGTTTGTGACCTGCGTACCACTTAAGTGTATCCCTATATACACACCAGTGAAATCTCATTATATTGTTCTGTGTAATTAGGGCTGCCACTAACGACTATTTATTTCGATTAATCTATTGACTACTTTATTGATTAATCTAAACGATTAATTTCCCGCAAAAAAAAAATCAACAATTTTACTTAAGAATATTTTATTAAACTATATTTCATTAAACCAATGAAATCCAAACGTAAAGTGCAACATAAGAGTGCAAAGAAGCAAATGTCCATCTCATAGACATACATAGTCAAAATCACTGAAATCAGTTCAGTATTATAGTGTAAGAATGACAACATATCCACGTGTTCTGGTCTACTAATAATACAATTATAATCAAAAAACACTTTTTAAAAGAGTATTTACCAGAAATATTATTTACCAGAATTTGTTTAGGAGAAAAATGTAAATGTGCAGTATTTCAGAAAAAAATCCCTTTTTTATTTTTTTTTATTTTTTTTTTATATAAATAATCAATTAATTGGAGATGCTTTTGATTATTAACATTTAATGGAATCATTAAAATAGAATCCAGAAAATAATGGAAAACAGAATTTGGTAAAGAAACTGTAAAACTCAATTAATTAGACCGGCTTTTTGATTAATAACATTTAATTTAACCATTAAAACGGAGTATAGAAAAATGAAAATGAAAATGGAAAAACATGAATTTGGAAATAAAGCGATTTCATAGTGCCCTATAATTATAATTAGTTTTTTGTGGTAATAAAAATAGATGTAAGTGAACAATAGCCTTTAAAATTACTTAAATACATATATAATAGCAGTGAGGCAATAATAATTAGTTGCAATAAAGTATCAAAAGCAAGAAATCATATGGTTTTATTGAACAAAACTGTTAAAATACATAATGTATTATAAACAATAGAGCTAATGTACATTACACATTACAACAAAGGCCTGCAGAGGGCGCCAACAGCCTGACGATTGTTTTTACACATTACTGTGCGATCTAATACTTGTTTAATATTGACCAAGCACCATTTCATTCAAATGTCCACTTAATCTTTCATATTTGGCCATTTCTTTAGGACAGAAATGCTATAGCCACTGTAATTAAAAGAATATATGGACATCAAAACGTGTAAACTCAGGGTTCGAGCTTTTATTTTGAAACCGTGATGTATGTATTTGCTAGATTTATAAATGATTTACCTTACAAATCTGATGAAATGGCGCACGCTGCGTTCCCAGATGAAGGTTATAATAAACCCGAACTCACAACAACATGCAGAGATTGAGTTTGAGACGCTCCACACATGATGTAAATGATATCAGTTCCTGTGGAACTACTGTGACGCATGTACTTATTAAAGCGCATATACTGTATTAGAACTGCATTGCATAATTTAAATCATAGTGTTTGTGAATTCACAATTATGCTTTATCCTGATTTTTAAATGGGTTTAATATATCATGCAGCCTTGGATAGTGCCCTATAATTATAATACATTTTTTTGTGGTAATAAAAATAGAAGTGAACAATAGCCTTTAAAATTACTTAAAATACATATATAATAGCAATGAGGCAATAATAATTAGTTCAAATAAAGTATCAAAAGCAAGAAATCATATGGTTTTATTGAACAAAACTGTTAAAATACATAATGTATTATAAACAATAGAGCTAATGTACATTACACATTACAACAAAGGCCTGCAGAGGGCGCCAACAGCCTGACGATTGTTTTTACACATTACTGTGCGATCTAATACTTGTTTAATATTGACCAAGCACCATTTCATTCAAATGTCCACTTAATCTTTCATATTTGGCCATTTCTTTAGGACAGAAATGCTATAGCCACTGTAATTAAAAGAATATATGGACATCAAAACGTGTAAACTCAGGGTTCGAGCTTTTATTTTGAAACCGTGATGTATGTATTTGCTAGATTTATAAATGATTTACCTTACAAATCTGATGAAATGGCGCACGCTGCGTTCCCAGATGAAGGTTATAATAAACCCGAACTCACAACAACATGCAGAGATTGAGTTTGAGACGCTCCACACATGATGTAAATGATATCAGTTCCTGTGGAACTACTGTGACGCATGTACTTATTAAAGCGCATATACTGTATTAGAACTGCATTGCATAATTTAAATCATAGTGTTTGTGAATTCACAATTATGCTTAATTATGATTTTTAAATGGGTTTAATATATCATGCAGCCTTGGGAAACAGTCTGTGTTTTATGCATTCTCGTCCGTGAAATACGCCACTTCCGGTATTTTGACGGTTAGTCGACGCGAGCAAAATGAAGTCGAGGATTTTTAAGTCGAATAAAGTCGACGAATCGTGACAGCCCTGTATGTAATACTGAGCCACTGATTTAGGTTTACACTGGTTTGATGCTGTTTTCCTTGTGTAGTCTGTGGATGGCCGGACGATCCGTGTGGATGAGGCTGGGAAGGGCGGCGGTGGCCGGTCGGGCGGAGGATCCTACAGAGGAGGTGGAGGTGGAGGAGGAGGAGGCGGTGGAGGAAGAGGAGGAGGAGGAGGAGGTTTCTTCAGAGGAGGCCGAGGAAGAGGAGGTCCGAGAGCTGCTGCTCGATCAGTCAGTGTGATCCTCAGCTGTTTGTCTCGTTCTAAACTCAGTGTTGTTACACTCTCTGAAGGCGGAGGCAGCTATGGCGGAGGAGACCGTAGTTACGGAGGCGACCGGAGCTACAGCGGCGGTGGATATAAGAGCGGCGGAGGAGGTGGAGGAGGAGGGTACTCCTCTGGAGGCGGCGGCGGCGGCTACAGCAGAGACAGGTGTGTGTTCGGCGCCAGACTCGATCAGGGCATGAGACGAGCAGCACAGACTGCAGAAACAACACGGGGCTTTAGATTGCAACAAAATATCATAAGCATTAATATTTAGTTATGCAAACATCAGAACACCCAAGTAACCAGGAATGTTCTTGAATCTTTTTTTGCCTTGTATTCAGTGATGGGCGTTTAAAACGCATGCAATTAAAATCTCACTACTAAAAATAAAAATGCATAACCTGTTTTATTCTCACGTCTTGTGCAGTTCAGATTAAAATGCATTCGTTTAGATTTATTACTTGTGAATATTTTGCGTATTTCTCACACACACGGCTCTGATCACGAGTGTAACCTGCTGTTTTCTTCTTTCAGGAGTTCTGGTTACAGCGACCGCAGCAGCTCTTACAGAGACAGCTATGATAGTTATGGTACGTATTAGTTCCCTCCGCTCTAAAATCCTCATAGAAGCATGTCTGCTGTGCTCGTGTCGCCGCGGACGAGTCAAACAGGCTATTCTAGAGTTTCTAGAACTGTACATGTATGCTTACGATAAACTACAAATGCTTTCAAGTGGCCCAGTTTTAATTCGGATTTCACGTTTCCGGCCCAGTAATTTGACTAAAGTCACGTATTGCAGAGAAATGAATCTGAATCGGGTCGATAGAGTCGTGATTTGATGAAACTCAGGACGCTGTAACCCTGATCGCCCGATTGCTCTCTCTCTCTGCCCAGACGACCCTGTTTTGATGTTTGGTGGGTTGGTTAGTGGGTTAGTGGAGGGATTGTGTGTCTTAACCCTGTTGAGATGCTTGAGTGTCTTCATGTGTGATACTTCCTCCTCAGCTGTACAAGAGTAGAACCCAAGACCCGACGCGTCTGCAGCCGAGCGTTTCTAAAGACTCTTGGATCTGTTCTTGGATTTGTTGTAGCTGTTCTCCATGTTTCTGTTCAGTTCTTGTACTCTGAGAGGAAGGCCGCTTTCTGATCACCGGCTGTGAATGAGTGAATGTGTTGATGTGCTGACGGGTTCCTCTTTTGCCTCATTTTGAATGCTTTAAATCACCAGAGCGAGCTGCACTCATGTTAGCGCTCACCTGTGCTTCTGTGGGGAGTCTAGAGAGCGTTTGCTCTCGTGTGTGTTACTGATGCGCAGCCGCTGTCATTAAGAGCACGGCTCCTATTAGCTGTAAGACAATGATCTGTCCATGACCCGTATCCGAGCGCAGTGGACTGCTGGCGCCGAGGTATCTGTCTCTGTTATTCGCATCCTGCATTTTAACCATGGACTATTGACTTAAATATCTATATCTATTAATCATTCACTTGAAAGAGAACCAGAACTTGTTAACAGTACGCTCCAGAACTGGGAAAGAAATCCTTGTGCTCTTGTTTCCTTTGTATCAAAATTTGACTCACTATTTTGTTTTTATTATTTTTATTTTTTGCTTTTCAATTGTGGCTTCATGGAGCCTATTAAACGAAACCATTTGTTCAAACGCTTTGAATTCTGTTGTGCCTTTCAAAATCTACAAGATGATTGGGGGGGGGGGACATGAATCTCTCAAAATTGTGCAGGTCACATTACACTAAAAGTGACCCTGGAGCACAAAACCGGTCAATTTTGTGACATTGCGATTTATGCATTTATTTGGCCGAGATACAACTATTTGAAAATCTGGAATCTGAGGGTGCAAAAAAAATCTACATGTTGAGAAAATCATATTTAAAGTTGTTCAAATTAAGTTCTTAGCAATGCATATTACTGATCAAAAAATTAAGTTTTGATATATTTACGGTAGGAAATATACAAATATGTTCATGGAACATGATCTTTACTTAATATCCTAATGATTTTTGGCATAAAAGAAAAATGTATAATTTTGACCCATACAATGTATTGTTGGCTATTGCTACAAATATCCCCCAGCGACTTAACACTGCTTTTGTGCTCCAGGGACACATAATTTAGTTCTCAGGAAAGTTGCATTAAGAGTTTAAGATATAATGTAGCACATCTCCTTCTTCTTCTGACCAAAAATGTAAACGGTATCTCCTCCTAGAGCTTTAAAGCTACAACCACCAAACTCGGCCCAGACCTTCAGACTGGTCTGACTCTGGTTGCTACATCTTTTCTAACTGATTGGATTTACGGTCTTCATAAAAATGAAGATTAAAAATCCCATAGACTTACATTGAAAAGTCTCTGCTTATCTGAACATTACATCAAACTGTCAAAATTCAAATCTAAACACAGAAGCCCATTAGATCAGACTTCCCTTCTATGTACTATTTCTAACCCATTCAAACTAATATTTCCATCGAATATTTCTATTTGACTATTTCTATCTATCATCTGACTATCTATCTTCGTAGCAACACTATAGCAACTATCCAAACCAACCTAGCAACCACCCCGGGTACCCTAGCAACCACCCCGGGTACCCTAGCAACCACATAAAAACACCTTAGCAACCACCCAAGTACCTTAGCAACTGCATGGCAACCACCCCGGGTACCTTATCAAATGCATAGAAACACCATAGAATCTATTAATCTACATCTAAAATTTCTAATTTTATTTAATATTTCTATCAGTCTAACATCCATTTTTCTGATAAGCTCCCGCGTCTCACACACACGAGCGCGACTTTAGCACTAGATTTAGCAACTTTCAGACCCTTTTAGCGGCTTTTTCCATAGAATATTCATACTGACAAACCTAGCGACTTTTCTGGATAAACCTTAGCTTTGGTTCAGTTGGAAGATTTCTCCAGTGCTGTCCCGCGAACGCGAGGTCTGACTTTCCCGGAGAAGTGTCGCCTCTCTCGGCGTCTGTTCTGTGCAGTGAGCGGCAGAGAAGCAGCGCAGCCGACTCGTCAATAAATGAGTGCAAAACAGCGTTTCCTAGCACCTGTCGCTTACTGATTGTTTGGAATTATAAATATGAGCGTAGTTCGTCTGTTAATATCACATGCACTTTTTAGTTTGTTGTTTTTAGTTTGTTACTCAGACGCAGGCAGTGCGCTGCATGAGACAAAAAAGTAATATAGCCGCTCTTTAGTGTAGATGCGTGTTGATTTTATCAGACGATGCCACGATTATAAATGAGAGTGACTCCTGGTTAACCTGTATTAAAAGGGGTCGTGTTTAGTCACTATTTAGTGTGGTATTTTTTGACAATATTCACTCGGGACAGTAAAATAGGGCATTCTAAGTCAATATACTGCAGTATTTCCTCTCAATCAGTAGAAAATATGGTTAACACCCAGTCATGCATGAAAATAAAATACCGTCATGTACCGTGAAACCGGTATAATTTTGAAAAATACCGTGATATAAATGTTTGGTCATACCGCCCAGCACTAGTCTGAAGGGTTGAGAGACTTTAACTAACTGCATGTTATTTCCAGTGAGGTTAATAGATGTTTAAAGTGATGCATTTCAAAGAGTTTTCAATGTCACATTACCTTCAAACAGTATGTAGTTTAATCGCATGCAACTTCAATTAACAGCTCAAACATGAAGAACAGCAGAATTCTGCCTCGAGCTCCGACAGGAACCGAAGAGCTTGTGTTTGGCTTTGAAGACTAATTGGGTTTGTTACTAAAGTTTTACACCATGCAAACTAAGTGGAGTTCAAATCTGCCTGTTTTCTCCTGTGTGTCCATGTTCAGATGATATAAAGATCATAGCTTTAATGCTAGTTAGCGGAGTAGAGTGAGTTATTGAGTGTGTTTCACCCAAACAATGCTTGATTGAACCCAAGCGCTCCGGATGAGTTTCCTCAAACACGTCCTCGGAGCTCGAAGCGTTGCATCTCCTGAAGTGAATCCTGACTCTGGCTGCTCTGTTCGTTAGCCTGTGTGCGCGAGGTAACCTTCCTTTGCTCTCCTGTTCACTTCTTAAACTCAGATTCAGTATTTGTTGCTCTGACAGCACAGCGCAGATCTCACAGTCCTCTCAGAAGCGTCTGCATGGTGTCGTAGATCCTCAGACGGACGTCAGACACTCAAGAGTTAAACTCCCACTCATTTCTCCCCATGCATTGCCAACCATTCTAGAAAGACTTTACATTTCAGATCACCAACACATTCACTTTCACCAGTGTAGCTCAATTTGAGAAACGCCAGATTAGTTCCCAGAGCAAAGACACTGTAATTAGTTCTATGTTCATATCTGTGATTCCTGCGGTTGAGTGTTTAATGTTCGTTCTTTGGTTTTGTTCAGGTTGAGTTCCCGTCGGCAACCGTCTGGGGTTTGAAGAAGGTCGACGCCTGATGAACCGTGTTTGTTCCTCTGAAGGTTAAAGCGTGAGGTTAGTGTTTCTAATGATCTTGTTACGGATTCACTTTGGCAGAAGTGTGATTGTGAACCGATCTGGTTTTCTCTTTGGTGTAGATGATGGAACGACAAGCAGATGATGAAAGCTTGATGGAGGTTCACGAACATCAGATGGTCATTTTATGATCCGCAACTGTTGAAAACCCTTTAACACCTTTGGTTTTCCTGCTCGAAAATGACTGGCCTTCTAGAAATTGATTGTAAATCTCATTATGCTGTATTATCGCCAAATACTGGCCTGTTTTGTATCAGCGAGCGCAGGTTTTGTTTTCTCTTCTGGAACTGTTTGATCACACGCCACAGTAACCTTCTTTAGTTCATGTGCAATACATTTGTTACAGTATTTATGAAACTTCATTCATGTTAATAAAAATCCACCTGTTCTTTGTCAACGTTAGCTCCGTTTTATTAAATGATCTTAACAGATGCAAGATTTGATTTTAAAAATGCATTAGTGCATGTTGAAATTAACATTGATTGATTAATGCTTTAGATTTCATGTAAACTAATGTGGCTAACTAACGAAGTTTTTCTCAAGTTTCACTGATCTGGTTGTGGATAATTTTGACATTATTAAAATATGAAAAATCACACTGGTGTGCTTTAATGTTTAATCAGGAGGTTTGTTTTGAAATGGTTTTATCTTGTATAAAAATGTCACAAAGTAACAAAGCCAGTAAAAAATGACTAGCCTATAAATCCCTTTTTATGCTATATTATCACCATGTTTTCTCTTCTGGAACTGTTTGATCACACGCCACAGTAACCTTCTTTAGTTCATGTGCAATACATTTGTTACAGTATTTATGAAACTTCATTCATGTTAATAAAAATCCACCTGTTCTTTGTCAACGTTAGCTCCGTTTTATTAAATGATCTTAACAGATGCAAGATTTGATTTTAAAAATGCATTAGTGCATGTTGAAATTAACATTGATTGATTAATGCTTTAGATTTCATGTAAACTAATGTGGCTAACTAACGAAGTTTTTCTCAAGTTTCACTGTTCTGGTTGTGGATAATTTTGACATTATTAAAATATGAAAAATCACACTGGTGTGCTTCAATGTTTAATCAGGAGGTTTGTTTTGAAATGGTTTTATCTTGTACAAAAATGTCACAAAGTAACAAAGCCAGTCAAAAATGACTAGCCTATAAATCCCTTTTTATGCTATATTATCACCAAATATTGGATTCAGTCTTTTTGTAAACTTGTTTTCCTTCAATTAGGACAGTGTTTTTATATTTTTGAAACTGATAAAATATTTTAGTTTGGAATATTTGCTAAATCTTTAACACTGATCAAACCTTTACATTGAGCTCACATCACTCGTCTTCATTTGCATCGTGTTTTTGGACCCAGAACCAGATTATACGCTTCATTGATCAGCTGCACCTTCACGAAGAAAAGCAGCAAACGGTTGACTTCACACACGTTCATCTGACTTCGGTTCAGTTCTGTTGACTATGCATTCTGAGTAATTGCACTTTGTCAGATGCAGTTGTTTTTTAACCTTTAAGGCGCTGTTGGCTCATTTTTTGACTGAAAAGGTTTACATTTGGTTTTTAGAATCTTACTTCATTGGAATAGGGTTT